AACCAGGCTGGCAGCGGGGAAAGTTGGGGGCAACCAGGCCGGCCGGGGGGCAGTTGGGTGTGACCAGGTCAGCAGGGGGGCAGTGAGGGTGACCAGGTCGGTGGGGGGAGCAGTTGGGAGCAACCAGGCCGGCAGGGGGGGTAGTTGGGGGTGACCAGGCTGGCAGGGGGGCAGTGAGGGGTGACCAGGCTGGCAGGGAGGGCAATTAGGGGCGATCAGGCAGGCAGACAGGTGAGCAGTTAGGACCCAGCAGTCCTGGGTTGTGAGAGGGATGTCTGACTGCCAATTGTGAGAGGGATGTCCGACGCCCCAACTTCCCCCCCTGCCAGCCCGGCAGTCGGACATCCCCCGAGGGGTCCCGGATTGGAGAGGGTTCAGGCTGGGCTGAGGCGACCCCCACCCCTCCATGCATGAATTTCATGCACTGGGCCTCTAGTTTACATATAAAAGATAATGACTAATTTTCTCTTCCTTCTTTGAGAGAATTTGGACAAAATATAGCTTCTGATGGAAGCTCAACCTTCTAACCCTAACTTTTCCTGTTTTTGTTTGTTTGATCTCTCTCTGGGTCTAAGATCTTGGCATGGCTTGGCATGCCTCTTCATATTACTCTGGCACAACCTCTCTTGGGAGCAGCACAGCTGGGGTTTGTTTGTTTTGTTTCACACTGGGTTGCAGTGGTGCTGAATTAAAGCACTGATTCTGCAATAAGGTGGAGGTGGGAGTAGGCAGTAGTTCATTTCTTCCAATGTAGAAGTCATACGTCAAAATTACCCCTATATATTATATGTAGTCAAGAGCCAGGTCTGTACAGACCACTTATAAAGCATCTTAATACCGCATATTTGTTTTACATATGGATCCCATAGAGCTTTACAGTAATTACTAGAACTACAATAAAACTTAGATCAAGCACCATTTCTCACATGTAATTTTTTAAAGAGTTCCTAAGAAATTTATTTCATTTTGAGGTTTAATTCTATCCTCACTATAATGTATTATATAGTTATGAGGATCTGTGTTTACTGAAGACAATAAAGAAAATAAAGATGAGAGCATTTGTTAAAAATAAGTAATTGTGTTACTGAATCATGATTCAGAATATTTGATGTTATAGAGCTTATTATTTTGGGTGAATTAGTATGAAATGGATATTTTTCTGTGGATTAAGAAGTATTGAAACTATTTTATACTGACATATGCTGTCTCTATATCAGGTTTCAAACTTATTGGACAAAGATCATTCCTAATTCAGAAATATCTTTACCAAATAGTCAGTCACTCTTTTTCAAATGTTTCCAATCATTTTGTTACTTGATTACTTTCACATATAGAGCCTCAATAAACATTATTATATCAATCTGCCTGTGATTATTCTGCCTGGATGTAGCATTCTTAAATCAAGAAAGTTTAATATGGAAATTCCCAAATTGGAAACATGGAAACAAAGGGCTTTATATCACATTTGATGAAATTTTCAACGGCTGATCTTGTACATACATTGTTCCTTTTTTGAGAATTTACCAAATAAATAGCATCTTTCTTGGTGTCAAGTACTGCACTAGTGCTAAGAGATCTATAAAGAAATCTGATTAAAGAGTCCTGACCATCACTAAATACAATTTTGCCACAGGAAAAAGACATACATAGTGAAAATATTTACGGAATAACACAATATTCTTCAAAATGAGCACTATATGACTTCAGAGTCGTGGATAGAGGTAAGAGGAGAACAAAGATACTCAAATTATTCAAGGCTGAAGGTCAAGGTGAGATTTGAACATGTGAGAGATGAGTAGGTTTTGCATGGGCAAAAATAATCATGAGGTATTATAAACAAGAATAAGAGCCAGGGATCTGAAGTTTATTCTGTTCATGACATTTAAACCCACACAGTAAAGAAGCCAGTTTATAGTTGAAATTGAGAACTCATATCATATAGTTGGAGATAAGTCTGGATAAAGAATTAATCACAGTTAGCACTTACAGAGTACCTTTTGTGTTACACTCACTTTACATACATTATCACAGTAGCCTCACAGGTATTATTAGCTTTGGTTTATAGATTAAGTCACTGAGACTGCATGAGGTTAATTAACTTTCTCAAGGTCACAGAGCTAGTGAGTGGAACAGCTAGATTTAAATCCAAGTTTGATTCCAAAAACCCATGCTTATGTTACTACATCACATTGTCTTATAAATGGAATGTCATTGTAGCAAATCTCACATCTTGCTGGGCTATTGGGACAACCTGGAATCAAAATACTTGAGCTTGGATTTGATTTCCTATATTAGTCATGCAACATTGGACAAGCCCTCTGTAAACTTTACCCTCTTTTGTAAAAATAAAATAATAAATAGATGACAGCTAGACAGCCACAAAGATAAATGATGGACAGATAGATGTAACAGAAGCATGGGCATTCTTATTATTGGATAATTCCACTTGATCAATAAAATGTGTTGAGTTAAATCTGAATCAAGGGATTGTGTACAGCATCTGATTTATGATAGTTATATAAAGCCATTTCAAATACAGGTGTGAATGAAAATAATTGCAGTTTATAACTAATTCACAGCTGGTTCAACTACTTAAGAGAAATGACTCAACTATTTTTGGCTTAATTTAGTTGGCAGAAATGACGACGGAGTCATAGTATAGGCTCCCATGACTCCTGATACTATATTATCATCTCTTCCCCAAATGTTCTTGTAGGTGACAGCATGGCCCTTACTTAGCACAGTTCCTAAAGAAGAGACACAATAAATTAAATTAAAGAGAAGAGGAAAGGAAAGGAGAAAGAGAGGAGAGGGAAGACAAGAGATAAAAAGACTGGTTGAACTTACAGGAAGGTAAGATCATATTATATGACGCAAAGTATTTTTTAAAATTCTATAATTCAGACAAAATGGGTTTCTTCCTTTCAGAAAAAGTCACAAATTTTTATATGTGATAACTGTGTTACTTATTAATATTGCCCTTTTTATGCTACCAGAGAATAAATTTTAAGAAATCCTGAATTAATAGTAGTGAACTGAAGGCTGTGCTTGGATGTCTATTGCTTTTACTCGATGGTTAATCATCTAGCCTCATTATTGTTTTCTATGACACTTCAAGAGAGCCCTTCATCATGCCTTTTAGTCTTCAAAGACAGAGAAATGAGAATTAAATTGATTCCAGAGTCACTAAGTGGCAGATAACCAGAATATTGACGTAGGGACTTTGAGTTCCAAGCTTAACCCAGAAGGACATAACTCCAAAACATTAATCACACATTTTGCATAAATAACTTTTGTCATAGCATAGTCCTGCCTTCATTTAACATACTTTTCTATCTCATTTAATTTATGTCCTACTAATTGAATTCTGCCCTCAATATGTTGATTTTACATTGTCAAAAGTCTATACTGATTTTTCAAACTCATATTGTAAAATCAAAACAACCACAAAATGTAAAGGTGTTTACATGGGTTGAAATTCAGGTAAAGGTTTGAAATTGGGGACAAACTCCTGGAAGATGGTTTTTTCTTTTTTTTTTCACTTTTTCACCAATCATCATCTATGTAATCCTGCCCAATTTCTTAAATACATATTCACAATCCAGCTCAAGAAGTTTAATGTTCAAATGTAAAGGTGTTTACATGGGTCGAAATTCAGGTAGAGAATGGAAATTGGGGACAAACTCCTGGAAGATGGTTTTTTCTTTTTTTTTTTTTCACTTTTTCACCAATCATCATCTATGTAATCCTGCCCAATTTCTTAAATATATATTCACAATCCAGCTCAAGAAGTTTAATGCTCAGAGGCAGGAATAAACCTATTCTCAGTGGGTATTACTGACAAGAAAAAAAATTAAAGTAAAAAAAGATGAAAATTAAGAAACAATCCAAATCAAAATATAAAATTCTCCTCAGGTGGGAAGGAAAACACAAATTCGGGGAAGCAGGAATTGTAAGAAAAAGTCCATCTTTGTTCTTTCATGATCTGTTAGAATAGAGAGAGAAAGATGTAATAAGCATAAACAGGGTTTGTTTGTTTATTTATTTATTTATTTATTTTTATTTTTATGGTGTGAGGCAGGGGTGGGGAATCTTTTTTCTTTGAGGGCCATTGAGATATTTATAACATCATTCATGGGCCATACAAAATTATCAACTTAAAAGTTAGCCTGCTATATTTGATCAAACATTTAATTAACTCACCCCTAATGCAGGGCCAGACCAAATGTTTTCATAGGTTTTTATATGGCCCACAGGCCAGATGTTCCCCACCCCTGGGAGGAGTAAGATATAAGTAAGCAATATAAATGTCTTAGACATTAAAACATTCTGGTTTGAAGTAATTACATGTGTGCTTTTGAAATAAAAGCTATTTAAATAACTCTGGATTTTGAACCACTTAAGCCTCTGGATTATTTAATTATGCTAAGTATATGCTTTTTCTGAGTAATTTTTCTGGTTTCCAAGTAATCCAGAAGAATAATTAAATCATGAAGCTATATCAATTATAGACACATCGAATGGTCAAATAATCTTACCATACAAATAACCCTAACCAGGATATAACTATTCCCTAAAAATGTATAAGGAGGAATACAAATTGAAATAGATATGATCTGCAATTTTTGTCCTATCAAACCAACAAAGTAGTGTGTGTGTGTGTGTGTGTGTGTGTGTGTGTGTGTGTGTGTGTTTTAAGATATACAGAGCTGGTTAAGGTAAAGCAAAGCAGAAACTCTCACTCATTGCTGAAGAAATTTTAAATCTCTACAATTCTTTTAGAAAGAAGTCAGACTATATGCATCTTTAAAGAATATTAACCAAAGGACTTATATGCAAGCATATAGGCCTAACCAATGGACACAGACAACAGGGGGGTGAGGGCCTGAGTGGGGGGATGGGGGGTAATGTGGGGATGAGGACACATATGTAATAATCAATAAAGAAATTAAAAAATAAAGAATATTACAATTTTGCATATTATTTATTCTTTAAAGTAAACTTATGGTAAAAAACAACAGCAACCAAATATATTTTTAAAAACCTCTGCATTTTAATTTTGGGTTATGATGGTCTATTCAACATGGTGCCAATTTGAACACAGGTTATGGTTAAGTAAGCTATAGTATATCCTTTTAATAGACTATTAATGAATATTAAAATTACTTTAAAGTAATTTGTAAATAATCTAGGGAATGCTTATTTTATGTTAAATGAAATATAATAGGATGCAATAATGCATATGTAATATTATCATAAATATGTAAAACAAAATCAAGAAAAGTGCAGAGGAAAAATAAGAGAAAAATATACTAAAATGATGGTGGAGTTTTCTTGAGTAGTGGAAGTAAAGTTTAATAAACTGCCTTTTTTTTTCTAATGTCCTTTATTTTCCAAAGTTTCTGTAGATAGCCTCACTTATTTTTTTATGATGAGGGGAAAGTATATTAAGATTTACTCTAAAAAATAAAAAATGAAATTAGAGTACATTTATCGATAAAGAGATGGGAGTTGGATATCTCCATTCTTTTTTAAAAATATATATTTTTATTCATTTCAGAGAGGAAAGGAGAGGGAGAGAGATAGAAACATCAATGATGAGAGAGCATCATTGGTTGATTGCCTCTTGCATGCCCCATGCTGGGAATCGAGGCTCAACCCAGTCATATGCTCTGATGGGGAATCGAACCATAACCTCATAGGTCAATGCTCAGTCACTGAGTCACACCAGCCAGTCTGGATGTCTCCCTTCTATTCCCTTCATTTGTTTTCCAGGGGAATCTGTGTGTAGAGTAAAATGGGGCTAGGTTATGTGTATCATATGTACATATTTAGGGAAAGGATATAGGACCATAAAGGTGAGTTGAGAAAAATGTTATTGGCCTTCTGACTTATAAGCTATGTTTCAGGATCAATTAGCTTATTCTTATCCTTCAGGCATTGTTACACACTATATCTCTATTGAAAAAGACATTTAAATCTTCTCCTGAAGAACAAAAGTGATTGTCTTTCAATTACCCCAACTGTGGGAGAACTAATGGCCAAAGAAACTGAGCTACTTGAATGTCCACATCCATAACAACTTATACTGAGTAGAGGAGTTATGGTACCCAGCCTTAGACAGGAAATGAATAAAATGAACATGCTAACTTTTCATTAGAATGAAGAATTCAACTTATGCAAAAAGTCAAGTATGGAACTTTGCACATTATCTCATTAAAACAAAAACAATCCCACAATGCCAGAAGGCTATTCATGCAATTAACCCTACAGTTAACAACAGAAATATTGAAAAGAGGTGTTTGAGGGAGGAAAGTCACGTGCTCAGAATTTAAAATGAGCAACTGCGCATCCTATTAGGCATTATGTTCTGTTTTCTGGAGGGTTTATTGAATTACATGCTTTATACAAAACAGATCTAATCAGAAGGGCAAGCAAAAGTGTGCTAACCATATGGAGAACACACCGAGTCCTGCTCTAATTAAACAGGGGTAAGCTTAGACTTAAAATACTCTCCAAAACTATTTTTACTATGAAACATCAGTGACATGCAGGCTCTTTCAGGGCATGAAAATTGGTCAGTCACATGATCAGAATGGACCCAGTTTCAGAAAGTTCTCAGTTGAAGGAAATCTAAGTGAATAACAACAACAGCTCCTCTAAGGAATCTAGTCCTCCTTAATCAGATAAGCGTGCTTAACTTCCATTTTATCCTTAGAGCTATTCTGCCTTCCTAACACAAACTCAGAACAAGGGGATGGGGGAAGTCTATGCTGTCAATCCAGGCAGTTTCTGAATCTCACCTTCCCAAATGGTCACTCCACATCGATGTTGAGGAGCACTGGTGAGGTAAGGAGGTGGAGCTGGATGCATACTTGTTTTTGTGGTTCCTGATCTGTAAACAGACAGAGATGTCAGTGGACAGAATTCTTTTTTTTTAAAATATATTTTTATTGATTTTTTACAGAGAGGAAGGGAGAGGGATAGAGAGTTAGAAACATCGATGAGAGAGAAACATCAACCAGCTGCCTCCT